GCGACCACCCAGCCCGAGGGCCTTGGTCATGGTGGGTTTTGGTCTTCACACTTGCCACCCCGAGGAATGTTCTAAACAGGAGTTCTTCGACCAACCTGCCCACCCCAAGGAATGTTCTTGTAACACCCCGTTTTATTTTAAAGAATTTGCTAGATTTATTAATGAAAATCAGAGTAAAATTTTTGCAAAAATTTTAATTTAATACTTTACCTTAATGGGCGCTACTTAAATCAACTAACAAGGTAAACAATTTAGGACATCCACGATGGTTCTAAACATGCAGTCTATCAATTATAATAATCAAATCAAATCATTCATAAGTTTTCAAAACTAATCCAAAACATCATGATTCCAACGACATGTTCAAAAGTTAAAACGGAAGCATAATAATCCATAAGTAATAATCCAACATATAAAAATAAATAGATAAAGCGGAAGCAAAGACATGACAATCCAAAGACCACCACTTGTTCGTCTCTCGCCACCGCCGCCAACAACGCTCAACCTAAAGATAGGAAGAGGAAAACAAGAGGACAAAACAATAATGGGGGTGAGCAAAACCACTATGCTCACCAATATCGCATAAGTCTATCTCGCATAAAGATCCAAAACAATAATCGAAGTATGCATAGAATCCAGGTCTAACTCCCTAATTGGCCCTATCGCAAAATCTCCTATGTACATACAACAACCTTCCGATCAGACATCGAAAAGATGTAACCGGAAACCTTCCCACCCCAGCTCGACATGGGCTAAGGGATTCTTTCCGGGAGACAGTGGAGCCAAAAGGACCCCCTCGAACATCACACGGATCAGGGTGTCACCCCCCGAAACTCACACACAGATCAGGTGACCTCTCACTGTTTTTGCATTCATCAAAGGCACTATAGGCGAGACGCCCCTGGCGGTGTAACACACTAGACTAGGGTTCTCAGGCATACTAAAGTTATCGAGACGAACATTTATACGAAATAACGAAATGCGATAATTATAGATACACAAACTGTACCCACCTGGAAATAGGAATTAACGCAAAAGGTGAGGCTCGGTAAGTGGAGAGGTAAACACCTTAAAACACCTATATGAAATCAAGATAGCCTCTCGATTATAATTAATCCAATGAGTATACAAACTTAGTCGAAACTCGTCGACTAAGTGGCTCGTGGGATTTTCTCGTGGAATTTGGAACATACGACTCGACTCAAAACCAATTAAGGAAAACACACAAAGATGCTAATTCTAAATATACTCAGGCACTTAACTTGAAATTCAAAACACCTATAAATCACACGAAGAAAGCCTCAAACATCAAACATCTTGCCAATTTCCCCAATATAGCATAGTAAAAAAAATTCGGAGAAATTTGACAATTAAAGCACTTAAAGTTCATACTGCCAATAAAATAGTTTAACTTAGAGTGCAAAACACATTTCAAAATAATTCCAAAATTTCCTTTTACAAAAAATGAAATAAAGCTATATTTTAAAATCTTAAATGATCAAACTAATACAATTTTTAAAACATTGAATGTAGTTTCCACTTTCTGAAATTCAGACTAAAAAGGTTTATATTCATTTAACATAGATTGTTTGAAATAAAGAGAAGTGTTCTCATTTCTTCTAATTTCTGAATGCATAAAAAAAAAATTCAAAATGGTAATACAGCCTAGAAACTTTGTACATAGCAAAACA